TAGTGCCCATCCCAGAGAGTGACTTGGGAGGCGGATGCTGCTCGGAAGCCCTGGAAGTCAAGCAGTCTCTCCGACTCCCCATCTCCTGGGTTGACGAAATCCATTTTCGTTTTTTCAGATCTGCAATCTTCAAATTTGAACGCGCACAGGAATGAATCACCTGGGAATCCTGTTGAAATGCAGACCCTGACTCAGTAAGTCTGGGGTGGGGCCGCAGAGACTACATTTCCAACAAGCACTCAGGTGATGCCCACGCTGTGGGCGCGTGGACCACACCTGAGGTGCAGGGTTTAGCTCCCAGAAGGTGGAGGTGTGGGGACGGTGGCTCAAAAGGGGGGGGGGGGCGTCCCTATGGTGGCCCAGAGGCAAAGCTTTAACTGGCCACACAACTCCGCAGATTCTGATGCTCTCTGGGCTGGGAAAGCCTTTGGTAGGGTGGAGAAGAAAGCACAAAAAGAAACATCTCTGGGGGTGAAGCTGGTGGGGGATCCCAAAAGCGACCAGTGGTGCGCATATGCGCACCCAGGCGCAGCCACACCAGCAGCGCCGGCAGCAGCGGAGTCTTATTTATTGGGACAAAATGAACAGCCCCCAGGTTGCTCATCCAGCAGCTAATTTCTCATCTTATCTATTATGTGAATGAGAAGGGAAAACAGTTTCCTGTTTCTCGCAGATATCACTGACATGAAAGATGCCGACGAATTCCCTGGAAAACCGTGCAGTCACGTCGGTCCGCGGGCGCGCTGCTTTCGCGCGGAGGAATGGATGCGGCCAGGGCTGCTCTCAGGTGAGAAACGAGTCAAGCAGCATCTTTGCAGGCATCCCTTCCCCACCCCGTGTTCACCACCTTGGAAAATGGCTAAGGGGACGACGGGTACTTTTCAGTGGTCACACTTCATGGCCGATTATTCCTTGAGGCCCAGATGATTGACCAAGGAGTGGTTCCGTGGCCAAGGCCTTACACGGTCCATCCTCAGCCTGGCCGTGTGGTGGCGTGAAGGATCCTCAGCGGGAAAGCGGCCCGGCCAGTAGTGCCACCTCCTCCTCCACCCACTCAAGGAGCCTCAACGGCCCACGCACTCACTTCCCAAGGCCCCATCAACCCTTTCCCCCAGAGAAGGAAGACAGCCCTGTTTAGTGAAACTGAGAGTGTCTGGAGGAATCACAGAACTTCATGCTCATTTGGCTCAATTTTCTTTTGTTAGCAATGAAGAAACTGAGGCCCAGAGTGGAAGACAGATCTGGCCAAAGTCACCTGGCAGGTAAACAGCTAAGCCTTTTGGGTCTGTGTGTTGGTGGAGGTCTGGGAGAAGGCAAGTCTTCAGTGGGGTAAGAGGGTTGTCTAAGGACGGTGAGATGCTCAGAAAAAACCTCCTGATTCACACTGTTCCACATTTGGGCCTGGAAACATAACACACCTGAGAGCAAGTTCTGACGTGGAGAAACAGAGAGGCAGCCCCACACGGGAGGGTCCCAAGCTGGGCTGCTCATTGTAATCATTGGAGGGCATGTTTGAAAATGCTGATGACTGGGCCCCACCTCTGACGAACTGAACCTGAATCTCTCAGGTCTCACAGTCCCCATGAGCTTGTTAGGAATGCAAACTCTAGGTCCCACCCTGTCCAGCTGAGCCAGATTCCCCCACGTGTTCAGGTTTGAGATGCAAGTGTGCCCAGGCCCAATCCTAGGCCAAAGAAACTGGAATCTCTGATGGGTGAGGCCTGCCGTGAGTGGTTTTTAGAGCGGCAGGGACCATGGAGAGGACAGCGGGGCACAAAATGGAAGCTCAAAGCCTTCAAGACATGTTGATCCGTATTCCAGTTTTGCAAAGGCCCTGGTATCTTCAGGAAAAGGAAATGTGGGTTAGGAAGTGGAGACCAGAGAGGTGGTCTGGCTCAGCTCAGTCAGTTTTATCACCTGGAGTCAATCACAGCTGACTCCAGCCATCTAGATCAAAAGTCTGATGACCTATGTTCACTTTGAAACAGGCCAAGAGCAGCGAAATGACTCAAGCCCCAGTGCACCCTACTGGAGAAGTAAGGGAAGGGAACGAGGTGAGTGGTATATAATAGCTGTTAGAAGCAAAACTAGCTCCTAGGATCAGAAACAGCTCTGCTGCAGCTCTAGCCTTGGGCAAATTACTTAACCTCAGAGCCTCAGTTTGCTCATCTGTAAAATGGGGAAAATAACAATTCATTCATGGAGTCATTGTGACCTGTCAGGAGCTAAATGTGTGTAAAGCCATTGACAGTTTGGGGTACCTATGTGCAAGAGCAGTAGCTGTAATTAGTAGTAATCCAATTTCAACTCCATGGTCATTATGAGGAAGATTTTAAGTTAGTCAAAGACAGACGTGACATGAACAACAGTCTTCTCTTTCCAGAGTGAAAAACTAATGTTGTGGTTTATAAATAACTCTCCTGGCTGTGGAAGACTATTATCTCTGTCTCCTCAAGGCAGGCCTGGTTTAATTCACTGCAGTGGTTTCCTACAAATGTAAAAAGAAGAACAAGGATGAAGAAAACACAAGAAAACATGAGGAGGCATTAAAATCCAAGAAGACATTAACTGACAGGGAAAAGGGAGCAAGGAACTAGGTTAAAATTATGCGGAAGACCCTCTAGATAGATACCAGAGTGAAAAGACCGCTAATTGAAGAATGAGGGAGTTTTCTTAACCAGTGCTAGCTGAGTAAAAATATAATTAGCTTTGATTCATGAAGATTGCTACAATATGACTCATTTACCAAAACAGTTACTAGCAGAATTACATTTGTTACTGTAAGAAGACCACGTGGGAGCGAGGGCTGTAGTAAATACCAAATAATGTTTCTACTTTTCCAGTGGCACCTTGAAAAGGGGTTTTGTTTCCTCATCAGCAGTTTTCTGTGACGCTGCTGCTCTCAGCAGGGCCCTCGGCAGTTACAGGAACACAGAGGCCCTCTGGAGAGATGGGAAATGCTAATGTAGCTGCTCCCAGCCTGGGCCTTGGGAAGGTCCCGCCTCACCGGCCGGGGCCCAGCACTGTCCCGGTTTCAGACTTCTTCTCTCCCAGCGAAGTCGCAGCACCTCGGCGGCTGAGCCCCTGGCCTCGTGCCTAGCATGCTCATGTCTCTCTCCTCAGAGATTCCACACACGCCTCGAAATTGGAAGACCTTCCTTATTGTTCATTGGTTTTCCGATTGCTCTAAGAAGGGAAAGCCAGTGTTTTTCTTTTCAGATGTTTTCTCTTTAAGTCCACTGTGGAGGCTAGGGGCTGATTGCCTTAGCACAGAGCCCTTTACAGATTCAAATCTTCAGCGGGGAGGGTATAGCTCAGTGGTAGAGTGTGGGCTTAGCATGCATGAGGTCCTGGGTTCAATCCCCAGGGCCTCCATTAACAAATAAATAAATAAACCTAATTACCTCCCCCACCGCAAAAAAAGATTCAAGCCTTTAACAATCTGTGTGCAGACTTAAGGGAAGATGGCAGGAGACGCCAAGCAGAAGGAATCTCAAGGGAAAAGGGGACCTTAGAGAAGTTCTGGCCCAACCTCCTTAAGGATGGACACAGGCCTGGAGGTATGTGTGTGGAAATGCTGAGAGGAGCCGTGTGTTTTATAAAAATAGAATGAATGGGAGGCACAGGAAGAAAGAAGAAGATGCACCTCTCGCATAGGGAGCGAGCACCATAGGGAGAAACATCCAGAACAAGGCAGCGGCAGACAGTTCTTCAAGTACAAGAGTCATGAAAATAAATCCAGCTTACAAGCCTAATGAAGAACATTTCAGAGCAGGTTGAAACCCTAACTGATACAAATGAGGATCATCAGCTTCCCTGGGCTCTTCTGTTCAGTGTAGGACAAGAATCGTGCAAATAGAAGGAGATGACCAGGGCTGTGATGGCAGAATTACAACCCCTCCAGACCCAAATCTGCTTGGAGGCCTGAAGACCATCAGTGTAAGCGATGCTTGGCTGTCCTCATTCTCAGGTAATTAATATTTTAAGAACCACCCACATCTCTTTCTTCCAAATACGCATAAGTGCACCAGTATTTCCCTAAAGCCTAGAAGCTAAAGGTGACCTGGAGAGGATTCTCAGGCCGAGCCAGACCACACACTATTTACTAAGTCCTACAACTTACTAGGCATTGGGCTAAGTGCTTCACATGAATTATTTCATTAATTGCATCCACAGGCCTGGGATGTAGGGATTATCAATACCCCCATTTTAAAGAAAAGGATAACTGAGACTCAGAGAGGTTGAGAATATATGAGTAAAGACAATGTTGGGACAATATTGAAGGCAGGGAGACCAGTAGCAAATATTGACTCAAGAGAAATGATGACAGATGTATAGCAATGGGAGTGGAAATGGAAAATATGATACATATCTGAGAAGCATTTATGAGGCTGAATTATCAGGACTTAGCAATAGGTTGATATAAGAAGGGGAGAAACTTGGGGGTCTCCCAGTCTTGGGAAAATGAACAAAGAATGAGAACAGTGCACAGGGAAGATGATGAGTCTAGACCAATGTTGAATTTGATGTGTCGGATGGCTTTTCAAGTGGGAGATGACCAGCATTCATTGGGATCTATGAGTTCAAGGGTGAAAGCAGACATTAAAGCTAGAAAAATAGGAATGTGTGTTCTTATCACATGGGAGGCCAGCAATACACATGGCCGAGGTTCTCTAGATTCTGAAGAGCAGTGAACACAGAACAGAATCCCAGTGCTCATCAATTTTTAAGGGAGGCCAAGAGGAGAAACGATCATAGAAGAAGCATTAAGAACCCGCACAATCTGGTGTAATTAAAGCCAATGAATTCAAGATTCAAGAAGGTGATATCAGCAGTTCAAATAACCAGAAAAGTCTAGGTGGCCAATTAATTAACATAAAAGTGGCCCCTTGAATGTATAGCCTGACGGAAGTAGAAATCAGATGATAAAGTTTGAATAAGTACGAGATGGAGATGTTATGACAATACAGTGTAGAACAGACTTGCAAGAAGTTTGGCTCTGAAAGGAAGGGAAACCCTACCACCGTGGAGGTGGGTGGTGTCAATGGAATTGTTTTGTTTTGGGGGGTTTTTTTCTTAAGGATAGGAGAGTCTTATGGATGAGATGAGGGAAATCTAGCCAATAGAAATAGGGGAGATTTTATGACACAAGGTCCAGAAATGATATGAGAGTTGGAATCAAGGGGTAAGCTTGAACCTCAGAAGGGGTGCCCTATCTCCTGGAGGAAGAATGGGTTCAAAACTACTTCAGACAGGAAGTGAAGGAAGGCCATATATGGTCATATACCAGCCCTAGCATTTTCTGAGACCAAACCAATGCTCACTTATCTATGTCTGAATATTTAAAACTTACAAATCAAACCCCAAAACCAGGTAAAGAGAGTATGTTCCATTGGTGGGCTAGATATCTTGACAAAAATACCTTCTTTAAAACTTGGGAAGCCACACTCTATTTTAGGATCTTCGTGCCTCAGCATTCGGCACTGGAACACAGAGGCATGGGAGAGCCAGAACCAGCCCATGACCCAGTTGTCCTCTCTTCCGCCTCGTGGTACCCCAAGGCACCTGACAGATCACACTTGTGTTCACCCAAGCCTGTGTGCCCAGGCAAACAGCCGTCCCTTCCCCGGCCACCCCTTGGACCTAGGAGATGGACACACAGTGGGTTCATCCATCTTTGGAGAAAGGATTTGGGGAAGAGGCCCATGGCTATCTGTGTAAGGAATTCTGGGGTATAGCATACTGACAGCATTTGGGATGAGTGCCCAGGAAAGTACCCAAAGCAGGCTCTGGATGGACATGTCCCCTTCGCGCCACACACCCTTACCCTGTGGGGAGGAGCCCAGGTGGCCGAGGCCAGAATGGTGCCCTGCAAAGCACAGGCTTCAGCACAGGGCCCCGCTTGCCGAGTCTATGTGTGGAACAGTCTGATAGCTTCCATTTTCTTAATAAAACACAAAGCTAAGTTTATTTGCTGAGACAATTTAGGTGGAGATCCATCCAGAGGAATGAATGCCATATTGATTCTTTGGTTAAAAAAACTCTTGGGAAACATAGTATCCAAGCAGTTTGCCATGAGAATTTGTTTCTTAACTTGAAATAGAACCATGTACCAGGCAAGCAAATGTTGATTGGAATTTCTAAGGTGCCACACCTTACGGGCATTCACTTGGTACGTTTTTTTTCCTCCTCGCTGCCAACCTGAATGGGCCCATACAGTTTGCTTTGTGACAAAAGCATGAACTGGAAAGGGGGGGAAATGTGTGTCACATGCTCTACTTCAAAGTCAGAGGGCTGTTAAAGCTGACTTTCGCCCAGGAGTCCCCAGCAGTGTTGAGAACAGGTCACCTTCAGAATGATCATGAAAACTGCTCGGCTTTATTGCAGGAGGGCCTTTCTCCTGCCCTAAAGGCAAGTCTAAGTTCAGACGACGTCAATGGCCCACAGAGACAGGGGCCCCCAGAAGGTGGGATGTCCAGAGGGCATTTTTTTAAATCTTTAAATCATATGAACTTTTTTTTTCCCCCAAGAAAATGAAATGCTTCAAAAAGGAAGATAGCATGAATTAAATCATGGAGCAATGACTAAACACAGTTATATAATGTTTAAAATATTTTT